TCTCTCTCTCTCTCTCTCTCTCTCTCTCTCTCTCTCTCTCTCTCGCATATATTATATGCACACGGAGCCCATTTCCAAACATACTTTGGGGTTTGGGGGTGTCAATGTGTCTATGAATTGAAAGGAAGCCCAAAAGAAAAATGACAGCCCCATATTTAGTAATCAAAGAATGGCAAGCCATGAAGATGCCCTAAAGTCTTTTGTGCTTGATACCTGTGAAAACCTTACAAAGGAGTTACATAAAACAGATATACACCTGCAGTTTCGAGGGTCATTCATGCCCCTTTTCTTAAACTGCTCGGTGACATAGGTCTGGAAAGACAGAGGTCACAAGTGAAAACTTGTTCAGTTTAAGATTGTTGTTGTTGTTCTTGTTGCTGATGATGGTGGTGATGATGATGATGATGATGATGATGAAAGTTATTGTGTTTCTGCGGGTTTTGAAGTAGCATTAAAAAGTTGACAAAATGTTCATAAAATTAAAAAATAAGCGTAGAAAATCGCTGAGGTGACTCACCCCCCTCTCCCCATCTTTATATATATAGTCCAAAATGTAAACAAAAGCAAGCACATGTTCACACACAATTATAGTATAGATTTGATTGTGAAAACAGAAAAGAAGTCATAGAAGGAAAACAGTAGATCCTCTCAAATGTAAACCTTTGTGCCTTTAGTGTAAGCACAAAGTGTTCCAACATCGCCTTAGACCCAAGAGACTTGGGGAGAGCGAACCTAGTGAGATCCCTTGTGTTGTACATGTATTCACAATAAGCTCAAGCCTTCCAACTCACATCGTCATGTCGATACATGTCACTAGGCGCTATGCTGTCGCGGTGACCGGACTCCATGTCGGCTGGGATGTCCCGAGTGTCGTCAGGTTCGTCCAGGGTATGGTAAAATATCGGCCTGAGGACAGAAGCACACAAACCCAACATTTAGATAAAAGAAAACTTTAGACAGAAAAAAAAAATCAAGATAAGATCAGATAAATTTTTATTGTCTACATCATACTGGCACATTGATTTGATGTTTCATCACGCGCAAACATACATATATAGGCCTACTCTCTCATAGTCACACATCCTCTCTTCCACAAACATCTATACACATAACAAATACATAATACACACCCAGTTGGCACTGAGTAGCTTCTTCAGTTACAAAGCAACACATTTTTACCGTATGCATAGCAAGTTTTGACTACTCACCTGTCTAGATTTTTCCTTGGTTTTGAATGAGCCATGTCATCATGCAAATACTGCTTCATTCGGTCACTGAGCTCCACAAACGACCACTCAAAATTAGAATCCTGGTATTCATCCCTAAAACAAACAAAAAAGGAAACAACTCCCCAACAATAAAAGTAGACACATAATGTCGAAAAAAAATGTAAAATAGTCAATATGTGTACAATTTGAAGATTGAAAAAAAAATATATATGTAGATTCTCTCTCTCTCTCTCTCTCTCTCTCTC